CCTCAAATAATATTCTCTATTTTGAGAAGAGACTACGAGATTTGCACGTCCTATATCGGGAAGGTTATCACATCTATCTCTTCCCTATATGGGAATATTCCTTCATTTTTTTATTTAGGATTTCATATTAAGCATGAATGAAATAGGAATTAAAATTGAAGTAACACATCAAAAATGAGCAAATACAAGGCTATTATTAAAAGGTAATTATTATTCATTTTTATTAAGACATAGTCAAAAAAAGTTCAAGTTTGCTTTCGTTCGAATGTCGTATTAAATCGTACTACCTCGATAGGTCGCACTTTTCACGCCCATTCTACGAAGTTTGTTCTTGAAAATTATTATGAGTATTAAATAAATCTAATAATAAGCATTATCATATTTTAGAGGTATTTTAAACATTTTTTTAATAAAATATTTAACAAGTTAGTCATACGAATGTCCTAAAATAAACAAATGAACACTAACATAAAATTTGATACAAGGTAAATAGAATTAAGCAGGCTAGATCAGAACTAAGACAAAACCACAAGGATCTATTAGTAATAAACCATTTTTTTATGTGATAAACATGTAATTGGTGATCAGGATGATCATTTAATAACCTAGAATGATCTAAAGTGTAAATATCTTGTTTCTTTAAGCGTAGCAATTTAAGGACTAAAAAGTAACCAATTAAAAGTTAATAGGGTCAATCAAACATTTAATCAAAGCATGTGATAGCATACAAGTGACTAAAATAGAAACAGAATGAAACTCAAATCTTTAATTAAAACAAGCAAAAAGTTTGTTTCAGTGACCAATATGTAAAATTACAAGATGCGAAGGGCTGTGGAGCCCGTGAACTCAAAAGTGCGCGTTTAAGACCTCTAAAACGGCATCGTTTAGGTGATGATATATAAGGCCAAAATATGGTCGAAAATACCCTTACCCTCTCATTTGTCTCATTTTTTTTATTTTCCCCAAATGGGGAAAGGGTTTTTTTTATAAACCCTCTCTTCCCTCTTCCTCGCTAGAATAGGCCGACAGCCAACAGTCACCGTTTATCGGCATGCTCTGCCGCTACCTACGGTGACTGGAGCTATAGAAAACTAGCCCAAAACGAGGTTTTTTCTCCCATGAACTCAAAAAGGTTCACCACTTGAACTAAATCTACCCATGTCGCCTTAGATCTAGGAAAAATAGAAAGTTTACCTCCAATACGTAGCAGAGCTTTGCTCCAATAAAGAAACTGAGCCTCTTTGGAAAGCTCTGCTACCTCATTTTCTTGATCTCTGAAAGTCTCCTCCCTCTTTTTTCCCGAAAAATAGTCTTTGTTCCCTCTTGATTGCTGATGGATCTCCCTTTTTATAAAACGAGACTCTTTTCCCTTTTTTCTATTATCTATTTTGCATGTATATGGAAAAAGGGGTTTGTGATTTTTTGTTTTTTTTTTGTTTTGTCCTTTTCGACTTTTGGGAACTTTGATTAAGAGATGAGACATGGTGGGAAACAAGGTTGGCAAGCGGGCGACAATGACATGGGCAACGAGATGGGGTAAAAATGGTTTTATCCCAAGTTAACTCTTCATCGTTTTTGGGGCGATCGGCTGCAAAATTGACGGCGGTGGCAGTCATCGAGAAACGGCAGTCACGGGCGAGCAAGGGTGCCGGGTGGTGAGGCTAACGAGCGGGGAAGCTTAGGCGCGTGGAGGTAGATGGGTTTATGTAACACCCCCAACCCGTACCCGACCCTAATACGAATTCGATGTATCATATTAACTTTTCAAAACTTTTACTCTTTAAAAGTAAATATAAAATTCAAACTCTTAATTGTATTTGAATGATTTTGCGTTTGTTTGGTACCTGAAAGGTCTTCTCGTCTCCGACGAAGTGAAAGCGTTCGAATCCGAGAGATAAAGTACTCGCTTTTTTCGTATTCTTCTCTCTTTTGTTTTATTTGAATCATCCTCTTCTCTCTATTTTTCATTCGAGTTCCCCCTTTTTATAACATGTGGTTGCATGTTTATGGTTGCTTATTTGACTGAGGTGATGATGGTGTAGGGATACGGTTCCCAAACATGTTCATTTTTAATGGGTTTAATTTGATTTGTTAATTTTTTTTTGATTGATTGCTCACTGTTTGATTGATTTCTTGTTAGTGTTAGCTGAAATGGTGGCGTTGGATTTGGCCTTGGTGGTGGCGGCAACAGGCGACGATGGCAGTAGGTAAAACCCTAAAACATTTAGACTAAGGTTTTTATAAATTGGGCTCGATTGGGTTCGAGCTTGTAATTGGACTTCGAGTTTTATTGTAATTTGGCATGTAAAAAAATAAAATATGCTACCATTAATAATAATAATAATAATAATAATAATAATAAATAATAATTAAAATCATGACAAAAACAGATGTCTACATTTATTAAAGAGTTATTTAGGGTTAGAGTTCATAAACATGCTGGAAAACACTAATTTCTAAATTCTATCATGAACATGCTTCATAACTCATGCTTCATAACTCATGCAACCTACCAAAACACAAGTAATGGCCTACATGTGATAGAGTTGAGTTAGAAGTGAGTTATATGGGATTCCTAAGGTGCTGGAAACACGCAAAGTTCAACCAAGAGTGAGCTTCTCCTTTCCCCTAACTTTGGAGTTTTCTCCAACTTCTCTCACTAGACAAGAATCAAACATAAAAGTTACTAACATTGTTGGGAAACTTAGAGGGGAGTTTAAAACGTTTCTTGAGGCTTGAATATCTAAAAAACGAGTTGAAATCACTTACGTTTCTAAAATCCCTATTAAACCCATATTGGTATCCTTACACAAAACTTGTCATAGAGAACTTGAATTGAAGCTTAGAATGAGGAGATTAAGTTTCTTACCTTGGTGTTGTTGTGCAAGGCTTGAAATGGAATAAATCTCCTACCTTTCTTAAGATGTCATGGAAGAGAAAGTTTGAATGGATGAAGAAGAAGATGAAAGGTTTGAAGAAAATGAGATATGAGAACTTTCCACATCATCCTTCATTAGAAATGATTCAACGTTTGGGAAAGTTTAGGGTAATTTGCTTCTTTGGTCCTCTTTGTTTTGATCACAACATAAAAGTGTCCTTTTTTATCATTCATTGGGCCTAGGCTTAGCCCATGCCAATGCTCACTTGGTCCAAAAAATTTTAAAATGTTAATGGATTCATTCTAAAGCCCATTCGAGTTAACCCAAAACTACTAACTTGAGATTTAAGATGTTACATGGGGCACCACCAAAGGAAGTACTGAGATTGAAACGAAGGATTTGACGGTGCTTAACGTTAGGCTTCCCGATAATGAAAGATCTCGAGTTAACACATGGCATAATATTTTAGTTAACAAACATAAACGAACCAATGCCTTGGTTGCTTAAAGGAATGAAAAGTTCCATTTGAGCCATTTCTTTCGTTGGTGATCACTGCTGAAGGTTTCCAACCAAAAAAAGATCTTATGTCGAGGCTCAGGTTAGTTATTTGCTATTTTTTTGCAACCTTTATGTTTTCATGGTGATATTAAAACCCTAAGCTTGGAAGATAGTTGATTTGGAGAAGTGAGACCATGGGAAGTGAGGATTCATTCTCAACCTATTCACTCAAGAAAGACACACGACATGTAGGCAAGTAAATCCAACATCGAAGAAACCCAGTTTGCTAAATGAGAAAACTACTTCAAAAATCAAACGATGTTAACGATTGAAATAGGAAATATTTACAAAAGTTGCGTTGTGTTTTTTGTTTTTAATTTTTAAAGGGGGTCAAAGATGCCAAATCAGCTCCTAACTGCGGCGTCAGATTTATGTCAAACATTTGACAAAGTTAATAGTGGAGTGACCATTTTGTAAGAAAATAATAGTTTTACATGTCTAAGTGTTCATTAATTTACTCTTGAATTGGGTCAGTTTTTCTAGAACTTTGGCCACTTTTATTTTATAAAGAAGCCAGTGAGGAAAGAGGTAAAATTTAGCCAGTGAGGAAAGAGGTAAAATTTATAGGTTTAATACTATTAGTTGTTGGTTAACAAATATATTATATTCAAACATACACACAAAGGAATAGAAGCCTTGAGGTTGGTGTAATAACCAAATTGGCTTCTAGATTTTATACCTGAAAGAGAAGTGCCCCCATATTGCTTTACATGATTTAAATTGGTGATCGTTTTTGCTATTTTGCTTGTTTATTTCATTTTCGACTGCTAATTACTTTTGTAGGGAAGTTGTAGTCCAAGATTGAGGGAATGTAGGGCTTCATATCCTCCATCTTGGATGTCATTTTCTATGGATTGGATGTAAAATGTAGACAATATTTTTCCTATCTGAGCAAAAAATTTGCTTTTTTTCTTTCTTTCTTTCCAAATACTTAACTTTATAATTAAAAGTAATGAAATTTATTACTATTAAAATTGTAATTTGGGTTGACCAAATTTATAAAATTCTTGTTCAAGATATGAACGGTATGGATTAGGTCTGTCGGTTAAAGCATGTAATCTATTTTTTTAATCAAATTTATCCATATATAGTGACAATTTATTTCTATGTTTGACAAAATAATCAATTCTGTTTTTATTTCTCGAAGTATTTTGTCACCTTGTATTCCATTTTGGGGCTAAACATCCTTGGTTGAACGGACATGGCTAATTGACTAATAGTCAACATTTCCTGTTAAATAAGTAGGTTCACATGGATTGAAATATGGATTGGAAAGTTGACTTAACATGTCTATGTGATTCCTTAAAGAAATTTTTTTTTAAATTAATTAATTATAAATAATTGTTTTTAAAATTAATTAACAATCAATCAGATGTTGTGATGTAGCACCAAACTCGCTCATTAAACTTTTATAATTTGACCAACAAAAATATTTAAAATAAATTGTAATTGTAATTGTAATTGTAATTAATTTTATTATTATTTGAATAACTGCAATCTAAAAATATAAAGAGTAACAGTATTGAAAACCACCAAATTCAAATACACATACTAATTAGTAACTTATTCATAATAAGGAGAGTGATGTGGTGCTAATTGCATGTAATTTTTGGCCACAAATTCCTCAATATTCTTGTCAGAGCTTCCACCATCATCAACAGCATCTATGGCTAATTTCCTCCATTTCTCGGAGTTCCGTTTGATATCCAAGCTTCTCTCCCCTTCCATTACTTCCCTTACACACCGTTGAATCTCCTCCTTTGTGATGATCCCATTCCCATCCTTTTTAACTCTGATTCCAACCTCCCAAACATCAGCCACAAACTTGGCATTAGTTATTTGATCCGTCCATTGGGGCATAGCAATCATGGGCACCCCTAGTCTCAACGCCTCGAGCGTGGAGTTCCAGCCACAGTTAGTCATGAAACAACCCACCGCCCTATGACTCAAAACATCTAGCTGTGGACTCCATGAAACCACTAACCCCTTCTCCTATGTTTCTTCTATGAAGTTGCTGGGAAGCTTGTTTTGCTCTGTTTCTCGAACTACCCACAAGAAGTGTTTTTTGGTTGATTTAAGACCCATGGCCAGTTCCCCCATTTGCTCCTCTGTTAAACCGGCTATGCTTCCAAATGCTACGTAGATGACCGAGCCGGTTTCTTTTGAGTTTAGCCACTCGATGCAAAGGTCGGTGTGGGGTTTGAAGGGGTGGAGACCATAATCATTATCGTCCTGCAATCGTTTGTCTGAATACATGGATGGAAGTTGGAATTGTTGGACCGATAGTCTTAATTGGCCATTTGCTTGCCATCCAGTTGATTATCTGTAAGAAATTATCAGCAGAATGAAGCAAATGGTAAAAAAAGAATAGTGAGGATTTTGAATGGAGCTAACTTGGTGTTCAAGCTTATCATAAGTGTTGCAGAAGGTCCAATCAGCTTTCTGAAAATTAGAGAACTGGCTTCTGATAAGATTCCACAAACATGGATACGACCCTGAATTATCATACACAGCCGATGGCAAATCACTGATCTCTAGTTCCGGCATTGACGGCAACGAAACAACGGCATTCGTCCGAATCTGTTCTTCCAATGGCACCCTGAGAGTCCCCATTTTCAAATGATAAAAAATGGCGTTCACTGCCCAACACTGGGTGAAAAACGAAGCTCCTTGTAAACCAAACCGTTTAGCCACATCCAGCGCCCACGGCATACCCGAGTCGTAAACTAACACTTTAGGTCGGTGCTTCTCGATGAACTGGGCTAGACTTGCTGGGATCAATGATTCATAAAGTCGAATATATTCGTTGATGTCGGTGGTTGCTTCAGCTTCTTGGAAGTCGATGGAGTGGAAGTGGATGGAAGGTGCGGAGGGTTGCATGGATTTGGAAGTGGTGATGAGGGTGACCTTTAGGCCTTTTGAGACTAAGCGTTTGGAGAATTGAAGCATTGGGTTAATGTGACCCTGACTTGGGAAAGGTAAAACCAGGACTTGATGAGCTTCATCATGTTTCTGCTGCAGATGGTTCTCCATTGATTTCCTCTCAAAATTTCTCAGATTTTGGCTACAACTCTCAAGTCTCTCTCATTTTTAATAGCACAAAATGGTATAGGCAGGCGGATAAAAAATCATAGAGAAAATAACCTCAGTGATCGAAAATGTCTTATAATATACGATTTTAACCAACTTTTTTTGGATTTGCCAAGATGACCAACAAAATCGCAATGCGATGCGATCTTAAATTCGCAACGCGATTTTCAGATTTGCATTGTGTGGCATTGCATTTGTTTCTTAAGAATTTTCTCTAAAAAGATAGTATCCGCGCGGATGTGTCAAAGACACGTATTACCACGACCACGACACAAGATGGCGGCGGCGGCGCGCTAGAGTTCTCCTTGTTCTCTTTCACTCAACAAGGAAGTGGGAAATCTAAGCCTTAAATACTCATTCCCAATAGTGTTTTCAATACTATGTGAGATTGAGCATTACCAACACTTGTTTCCAATTCTTTTCTTGTTTCATTTTGGGATCTGATTCTGCCACTCATTTTGTTTGACAAATGGTAATGGAGAGGCAACCGAGTTGGCTTGGATCAGTTGAATCTAAACAAGGGGGACTCTCGCGTGCCGCCGCCGTCGCCGTCTCGTATCGGATCGTGGTCGTGGTCATACGTGTCTTTGACACGTCCTCGCGGATACTATCTTTTTAGAGAAAATTCTTAAGAAACAATTGCAATACCACTAGTCGCTTTACCGTTGCGATTTTGGACTATCGCACTGCGAATCTGTTAGACTATCACAACGCGAATCTGAAAATCGTAACGCGAAATGGAAAATCGCAACGCGAATTTAAGATTGCATTGCGATTTTGTTGGTCATTTTGACAAATCCAAAAAAAGTTAGTTAAAATCGTATATTATAAGACATTTTCGGTCACTGAGGTTATTTTCTGAAAAACATATAGTTTATCCTAAAAGATAACACGTGCTCTGAATCTAAAACAAATGTTCAAATGGAAAAAATCTCTCTCCCTTTTTAATATAATGAAATGAACAGCAAATATATAAAAGGAACGTAGTTCTTGATGTGAACTATTATTCTTTTGAAATTGTGTTTTGGCTTTAGCGTTTGCCATTTCTTGACACAATTAAGTATACATCTTATTCCAATATAATTGATTTCGTATTATAATAATATCCCTTCTATCTTTACCTTCATCGTGATTCAGTTTTTACTTGTTCAAAACACACATTTTCATGCGATATGGATCAAACTTGGGACACACAATCCCGAAATGGAGGAGTGATTTATATATATAACATTATTTTAACACAAAATTGTTAACAAATTGTGACTTTTTGGCTTGTGTTTTCAAACTGAAAACAAGTAAGTTCTCTATCTCATCTGTGACACCATGCTGTCGGAGTGGGGATTACAGACGACGCCAGACTTGTTTTGGACTGTTCTTTTTTAATTCCAGTACATTGAATCTTACATGATTTATTAATTACATAATGGAATTGTTTATATAAAAATAAGGGTAAACTACACATTTAGTACATAAACTATTACTTTTTGTTTCGTTTTGTACCCAAATTTGTATTTGTTTTAAAATCATACCCAACGTTTACTTTTTGTTTCATTCTAGTATGTTGCCGTTACACTGTATTTTTATGGGTAATTACATCATTCATCACTCAACTATTTTCTCACTCCTATTTTAGTCACAAGAATTTAAAAATTCTCAATTTAATTACTTAACTTTCAAATTGCACATGTTTTAATCACTCTTAATTTATTTTATTAATATTTTTGGCATGAATTTTTTTATTTTTTTATTAATATAATTAAAATAAAAAAAATTTAAAAGTTAAGTAATTAAATTAAAAAATTTAAACTTCTGTGACCAAATAGGAATAAGAAGATAATCGAGAAATGAAAGATCCATAAAATAGGTTTAACGTAAAATTATGTTAAGTTCTTAAAGATGAGGTACCAAACGAAATAAAAAGTAAATGTTATGTATGATTTAAAATAAATAAAAGTAAATCCATCACTTCATATAAGGAGAAAGAAATAAATATCCCAATACAAGACCCCCGTTCTACGAGCGGTATGCATTATTCTTTACACGTATAATCGTTGCTTTCTGATTTGGTTTTCGGGGCACAGTACGGTAGTCGTTTTTATGATTATCTTTGATTTTCTGCAATTGTTTCTTTGAAATTTATACATTAATTAATTATTATTAAAATCCAAATCAACAACCAATTATATATATATATAAATCAAGTGTGATATAATTAATATTATATCTTTTAAAAGTTTTAAATTTTTATATAGTTTAAATATTTTTGATGATTTAGTTAATAATTCCAGTGTTTTTATATTTGTGTGTTAATTTAAAATATTAAAGATTTAAGATTCTAACATTAATTTAATGTTATCTATTCATTTATAGATTTAGATAAATATTTTTTGTATTTAATTTATTACTATTAATAATTTGACATGATAAAGTTTGAGTTAATTAATTTTATATATTAATACAATTTTCAAACATCAATACCTCATCATATGGAATCTTCAGAAAGTATTAATTTTCTAATATGTTTATTGATTTGTACATATAAGTTTAGGGTTTTGATATTTTGATTAGGTGGTTAGGCTATTTAATTAAGAAGCTTATTCAGGGGTTAGTTATTTAGGAATTTCGTCAATATTTGGTGTTAATTCGAATGCGGAGAAGAGCGAGATGTTTTCTTCAAGGATTCCGAGGAATAGCTGCGGATGATTATAAAGAATGTCGGTATTAAACTTAGAAGGTCGGTGTTTCGTTACTTGGACATTCTTTTAGTTGCGATGAAATTTATTGTAATCTGCTAAGTCTGACCCACACATTATGACTTAATCTAGTCAGACACATACAGATTTCAAATACCTTTAAAATCTTATACATTATTCGAATACAGGAATTAATCAGAATAATTGTCATTAATACAATACGATGTTTATAGTTAACTTGTAAAATTCCTAAAACACACATATATAACATCACTATAAAATATCATGTAAACATATATCAGTAATATCAAATGTTTGAAATAAAATATAATATTTATATTCAGTAATATAGTTTCATGCCACCATAATAACGATGAAAAACTATTGTACAACAACGAAAACGGTTGATCCTCCCAGCGCTAAGTCCAAAGACTATAATTCAGTAATGTCTGAAAAATGAACTTAAGAAGAAATGAGCTATAAAGCTCGGTGTACTCTTTAAAGTATAGAGAAAACACACATTTTAAATACTTCATTCTATAAAATAGTAGAGCATGCGATAAGTTTTACGTGTCATAGAATAAGCCTAAAATATTTCATTCTATAATAACCCCTCATGGCAATAATATATATGCATGTATTTAAGAGAAAACAGTAGTTTAGTTTATTAAGCATGAAAATATTTCAGTAACCCAAAATTAGAACACATATAAAAAAAAAATAACTGTAACCATAGATCATGCCATTAAATCATATAATATTAACAAAATTTCATAAATTCTTTTATTTATCATGTGGAAGAGAGGGGAATTTGTGGATTTGTCAACAAAAAAACCTCTTCGAGAAGAAATTATTTTTAAATGTAGGTCTATAACGAATACGAATAAGAATCGACATCGCCTTTCTCTTATTGATTCTCCCCTTCGTGCCCCTTGCACCACTACACGCCACATAGCTATAATATTAGTTTCATATTTATGTTTTAACTTCTTTTTATATATTAATTTATTTAATGATAAATTTTTTCAAATTAAATTATATTAAATAATATATTTTGGTTATACATATATTTATATTATATATATCATTATAATAATTTAATTTTAACAAATATCATCTACGTAAGGTATTAAATAAAAATATTAGTAACGTATTAAAGTTATTTTATTTTTTTATTAAATTATGTTAGTAATTTTAAAGGATTAAAATAATACTATTATAGATATTTGTTATTATTGGTGGAAATTAACCCGAATTCCACAATTGGTATCATCGCTCTTGGTTTATTTTAGTATGCTCTGTGGTTGCGACTTAGGCTGATCTTCCACATCAGAAAAAATTTCCTTGGGGTAATTGACATTCCGCATTGACAGCTATTAAATAGAATTTGTAGCAGAAATGGCAGACGACACAAAAACATCCGCAAGAAATGTTGTGACAAATGTTAGACTTGCAGTGGAGATTTTTTATGGC